AAATTAATAGCTCACGATCGTCTATCTATCTATCCGTCTGAATCTATCTGTTTGACGTCAGATTTAGATTACGAATTAATACGACAATCAAATAATAATAAGACTTAAATTTAATATCATTAACAATAAATCAATTTATATCTTTAAATTATTTATATCTACGATACGATCTCAATATTCAAGTTAGGTAGTCTTGAACCAGATCTCGAAATTTTCATTTAAATTAACTGAATAGTAAAACCTTTTATGATAACTACATATGTAACACACATGCCGTACCTACTCTAAGGACTTAAGCAACAATGTTTAATAGTTTTAAACAAAAAGTTTAGATTTAGTTTAGACGCTTTTATAATTCTAGTTAAGTTTTATTGTAGCATTGGCTTTATGTGCACTTAGACGAAAATTCGCCGGCGCTAGGAGTGTTTGTGTTCAAACGGTATACTAGGGAAAGAAATAAAATAAAAGACGCCGTCTTTAAATGCAGGTGTATAGAGGAAGTTAATAATGGACAAAGCTGTTGTGGAAAGCCTGGCTCATGTTTGTACATACTAGTCTCTTTCCCCTAATCTCCTCAGTTTTCACGATACGGTCCAAGTCATGAAATATTTTGATAAAATCAGTGACGTTAATATTCTACCCATAAGGACAATTATTTTGTCTTAACCATATTATTAAGTTGTAAATCATTTGTTTAGGCCATTTAAGTTACTTTGTTAGTTGATTACGGACTGCAAATATCTATAAGTTATCAATTATCATATATTTAGTATAAAACGAAGTAAATATTATAGTATTTATAAAACATACAGTGTAACATAGATACAAGTGAATTCAACGGTAACATAATTTTTTCCATATATTTATTTATAGCGTGTTGTCTGAGTAAGAAGGTAAGGTAAAATAAACAAGTTCTTATAACTTAAGCAGTGCTATAACAGTAATGCAGAACACATAGCCGGCACTCACGAGCCGCGATTGTTCTTTTCTAGCAGAGAATTAACAAACATGTATGATTTTAATACCGCACTCAAAATGTAGGGAAAATAAGAAGCTTTTAAATCTAAGTATATGTATCAATTTTTCTCGCTTCTTTCAGCGATTGTATGCATATTTAGCTTAAAACCATAAAACATAAGTACGTTTTTCGTGATACATGATTTATGAAATTATATTTTACATGTAATTTATGTTATACATTCAAAATGCTTATTTTTAAAACTTCCTATTATATCGGCTGACAAATTGTTATAAAATAATCTTTATCAATATACAGTAGATATATATTCTTTTTTTAAATATATGTGTGATAAATAGAGTATATTTATTTTAAATATTTGATTTCTCAAAATGAAAGAGTTTTTCTGACTTATAAATTTATGTTTTCTTTTTATATCCGTCATGTATTTTTTCAGATATAGAATTAGTTTAATTTTTTATACAGAACTTCTATTTGCCACTTTTTGTCTAAATGTTATTTGTATTTTAATATACGTAAGTTATATACCTACAATGACAATAGTTTAATTGTAACAATCTTTTTGATGAACAGTTTATTTTCAGAGTAGTAAAGTTAACATGTGTAAATGTACATCTCTACATTTCTCGATCTCAAAAGTCATGAGATTTCATTCAGTATTTGCGGTAATTACTGTATTACGAGCAAACGGGTTCTATTCTAGGACTAATGTTGTGTGAATTGCCTAATGGCATTGATTCAGAGTACGTCCAGATCGTGTCGGTTTCAAAACTAGTTACATTACAGATGTAATGTTGATTAATCGTATTCTATTATTAAAGTTATATAAACCACATTTAGTTAAAATAAATTGTAACTGACCTAAATACATTATTGACTCTATTGATCTATGAAAAATAATTTCGATCTTTATGTGATATAATCTCGAACTTCTATTGAGTTCGAGATTTTATGTCATAACATATGTATATGTCATAAAAATAATGTGTAAGAATTGTTTATTAGATTACGTGTATATGCATATAAGGCGTTGTGGCTAAGTTGGCGGACGAGACATCGCTCAGTTACCGCAATCGTAACCGCTTGTCCAGTACGTTGCATGCCTGTGTCTAACGTTATTATGGAACGTGTCACCGCAGTATGTACGTGGTGCGATGAATTAAAAATACCTCCTGGGAATATTGTGCTGATCAAAAATATTGGATTTACAATGGAATGTTACTCCCTTCCTTGCATTCTTGATATATTGTATTCATTCGAAAGAAATGTCCATACTTGAACCAAAACTTTGAAACTATTTCAGCTAAAAAATGAGTTGAAAGAAGTAGGGCTTAGAATAGAATAAGGTTGTTAAGTTAAATATTTTAGCCCAATTAATTAATTTCAATTATTTGGCTATTAAATTTAGACGGAAGACGAGTAATGTTTATAATTTTACACTTATAAGTCTATGATGAAGATCCATTTGAAAATCCGACAAGCTCTTTGTTCCTCGTACGTATTTATATAACTTCCCCTTAAGATATCATTTCAAGACTCTTGGGAATTGATATGAGCACTTGGTAGATTTATTTGCTTTGTAACTAAGCTGTTTTAATTATTACAGTTCATCTTAGAACATTATAAAATATTGTTGGCTGTAAATTTTGTTTTGAATGAGGAATAATTTCGTTTATATTCTTGAAATGTTTCTTACCTTTATATATTACCGAAATATATGGTGTATGATAAAAGAATAAAAGGTTTTTAATTGAAAATAAATCGATATTTATGCGTTATTTAGTATACAAATCATTTAAGGATAGATGATTTTAAATGATATCCAACAGTACTGGGTAAACGATATAATCCTACCCCATTTATACACCGTTGGGCACAATTCAGCTGTGACGACGCACTACGAATTTAAAATTCACTTTGCTATTAGAAAAACTTCTTATATTCATAGCTAACAAAATATTGGATTGCGATTTAACAATTTTATTTACAAAATTAGCAGTATTATTAATATATAACTTTCCTTCCGTCCCCAGAAGTATATAAAATGATTTTGTATAATTTAATCGGCGCTTGTGCTCTTTATCAAAATGAAGATGGAATGGTTCCAGTGTGGGCACTTTCATATATCTTACTATCTCGCTAAACTATCGCTTGGTATAAAATTGTAGTCTGCATGTAGTCTCTGGTATTAAAGTGATTTAAAATGAGATTTCCATAGAAAATACTTTCACAAGCATTTTAAACGACTTTTCGTGGCTTATGCACAGCAACAAACAGTATCAATATTGCGTATAGTATATATGAACATATATGTATATTATGTTAAGCTAAGTACATATATGTATATTGTTTTTACGTTATTATGATGAATGATAGATAGAAAAGAGAAAAATAAGCTAAAAACTATTGTTAAATAGTAACCGTTAATTGAAACATGGAAATATTAATTTAAGTATCGCTTTTATCAAAGTTGAATCAGTTTTGAATTAATCCTATTTAATTTTGTTATCTTGTTTCCTGTAGATATTGTTTTATTTCAGAATATCACACGACTTTTTTTTATCTTTGAACTCGTGTTATTTAAAATAAAAACCTCCCTAAGGATTTCAATCTTGATTGACACTAAGCCGATTAAATACTCCGGTAATCAATGCATTAAAAATTTACAATATATTTTAAAGACCCATTATTTTTGAATAGATTTAAAAGTTTAAATTATGTTTATAAAAAGTTTAAGTAAATATGTATATGTAAGATATATATATGTTTTACCCCGTCAGAGTTGCTGGTTCGAAATCGGTGCATTGAAATAAACAAAATGTAACCCTCTCACTGATTAACGAACTTCATACAAGACTTACAATGTACGATAATCGAATTACGTGCACCAATCCGTTCCTTGTTTTTATTTGATTTGCCCTTTCGCTGTGAATGTTTTAGGGTTCTGTGAAGTTCAAATTAAAATGAGTTAAAACATTGATATAGAATTACACTACTCAGTTATCTACCAATTATATTTTTAGACAAAATTACATAAGAAACATAAATTATTACCATATTAAAGTTCTAATTTTTTCAGTCATTACCATATATCAAACTTTTATACAATAAATACTCATTAATCAGTTGATAAAGAAAGAATGCTAACATTTACAAATGTTTTCATCTCAGTTTTTATAAAAAAAACGCTACAATTTCATTTTCCTTTGTAAAATTTGACGGTGTACAAGACGGCGCATACTATATTCATGAAAATTCATCTTATGATTTGACGTAAGAAGGAAGTTAAGGTTTCCATTTGAATAATCTATAAAAAGCGGGATGCCCTCGTTGGATGAGATGAGCTTTAGAGACTGTTTTGGAATTTTTTTTTAGGATTAGACTCGTTTCACACATTTGTACTTATATACAATATAATTTTAAGAATAGCTCGACTTTATATTTTCAATAATGTAACGTTTATATTAGTCCTTATAACTTTGGTAGTAAATGCCTTATAGGACATGCTCATACAAGTTCATTATCTTCAGTATACAAGGATAGATTCTTAGTGATTGAATCCATCTTGATGAAAGAAACCCTTACAGTTTCAATTGAAGTAGATAATAAATTGAAATACTTTTAAACTTGTACCGTAATGTAGAATAAGCATCTGATATAATTTGTGTAATTTATGAAGTATTATTCAAAGAGAATGAATAAACGAGATCATTCTCTATCCTGGTAAAGAAGATTTTATGGGTTTCCTTTGTATTCTGTATTTAAAAAGAATTCATTATTATATCAAAATGTAAGATATAAAAAAATTCTATAAAATATTATATTTTAAAAGGTACAATTATTTGTAAAAAACATGATGATTAAAAGACTCAATTAACAATTTCTACATATATACTTCGTTAAGTTCAATATCTTAACATGTTGAACAAAATTGTCTTCATTTAGATAAACAGTATAACAAAACATCACATTGAAATATAATACTTAATCAATAAGTCTGAAACGTGTATTTAATTAAAGACTAGCCAGTTCTGATGTACGATGAAATTATGACCGTAGCATTTGTGTTCTCGTAGCCGACGCGATTCTCGTAGCCGACGAGGTTTTCGTAGCCGACGCGATTCATCATTAGCCGTGACGCAGCCGGCTCGCTCGTCCGACCCCGCCGCCGCAGAGCGTGACTGTTTATGGTCCGTAACTTCACCCCTTCTAAACACAGACACGTGTAGGATTAATAGTGATTTTTCTACATTTATCCCCAGTCGACATCACCGAATGTTCAGTTTTGATTGAATTTTAGATGCAATTATAACGACTGTTGACACACAGCGTAGACGATATTTGGTTTATATTTTTCGTGATTATAAAGCGGCAGAGAATAAGAATAAAAAATTATAATTTTTTAAAGTTTCGTACAGCAATTGGTAATTTTTAATAACACGTAAGAGTAAATTTTAATTGACCTTTGATGTTCTCAACTAATTAACTATGATTTAGTAAGCACCTTAGTAAAAAAGTAAAATATTTTTAAGTACTTCTTGTGAAGAGGCGAACATAAAAGCAACTTTTATAATTTAAAACTGCTAAACACCGTATGAGTAAACGAAACGACCGTAGTTGCTAAAGTCCGTGATTCATAATTACAGAGTACGACGAATTTCACTCCGTCCGAGCCGAGCATTACTTGTTGTAGCATTTTGACGAGTTCTCATCCTTCATTACTTTGCTGCCGGAGGCTTTATTACCAACAATACATGTTTATAAAATTTGCATTCTTCATTCTCACTCTTCCATGGCCATTACCTTTCCATTTAGTAAATAATTTAGATGCCCTCTAGGACGCCGGCCAAATATTAAAAGTGATGGGTCCCCGAGGTTTAATATTAGACTCCCCCCGTATTAAATTCTCTGTCACGCGAAATTCCCAAATGCATACGCGAGATATTTTTTGCACATGTTCATATTTGCACTTTTGTATCCCATTTGATACAGAATGTCACTCTTGTCTCTTCTCTGATTTGTTTGCAACATTTCAATTAATCGATACTGTTTAATACTATGTTTAAATTGTGTATTGTCAAAGTAAGTAAAGTGTGCATGCTGTAGTTAAACAACTTTGTATCAAAATTGCACGTCATTTTATAAGCAACTGTTACAAAGTAAAATACTTGTTATATTACAAAATGTTCACTACATGATGCCAGATTAAATTATAAAAAAATATGAATGAAATATGTCAGAAATATAAATAAAAAAGTTGTCCTAATATAATTATATTAACAAAAAAAAAAATTAGACTTGTAGCAACTATTTAACGCATTATCAATATTATCAGATATCTACGAGATGTCACAAGAATTTGATTCAGTCACAAACGGATTGTTGGAGGCAGCAGGTTTTATACATTTTATAGATATTTCCATGGATCAGCCAATAAAAATGTTAAACAAGACGCACACATAAAGGCAAACGTAATATGATATTTTAAATTTATATAACAATATGAAGCAAGTTGCACGGGGCGTTGAGTAATTTGGCTCATTTTAAATGCATCAAATTCACAGAACAAAACTCATCTAGAGCTTGGGGGCAATAAAAATGTCCCACTTCCAGCCGCTGCATTAAAAATTGATGAGATCAAGGTGTAATCCCGCCGATCTTTATTATAAAATCTTGCATCTTAAATATTTCACATTTTTCACCATTTAGCTTGACGCCTGGAATAATGTTGCGATCATTTTACAAAAGCGCTGTCAAGTTTTATGAAGCGTTCATAATTATTCTTCGAATTGATTCTGTTTGAAAGTATGTATTACATACGTTTCACAGAAATTTTCTATCGTAATGAAGCTTTGTAACTTTAAATTTAATGATTGCCCCCAATAATTGAATTATAGATTATATAGTTGTGAATTAATAGAAGAATAAAAAATGCATGTATATATGTATATATATATATTTCGACTCACAATGCATACAGTAGACGTATGTACTTAAGTGAAATCGGGGGTAATGTACATACATATATGAATACATGTTATATAATTATACATATGTGACATACTGACAGTATAGTCGTACATATACACAAATCTACGTAATTCTCTAAATAAAGGGTGAAGTATAAATATATATACATCTTACAAACAATAAGTGTTGATTTATCAAAATGAAATCTCTTTGTCATGAGAATAATCTAATTTATCAGTGATTTGAATCTCCACTTTATTTCAAAGGGTCTTTAAAATGGTTCCATCTACTTTTACATTCAGATTTTAAGTTAAAATGTAATTCTTTTTATCAATTAATATTTTTAATTAAAAACGGCGATGGTTGAAGCAACTTACGCTACAGTCATAAAATAATAATTTCAGTATTAAATTACTTTTACTTTGACAATTCTTATTGAAAAACTCCTCTAACGAAAAATCACAAGATTATAGTTAGCTTTTAGAAGGGGCATAAAGTTTTATAATTCACGGGATTCTTCCGTTCCCTCTATAAACATTTGTTTAAATTTTCAAGGCAAATGGTATTGTCACTGTCTTACCTTTGGTACGATTCTTAAAAATAAATTTTAAGGGTCCCCTTTGATGCATAGCTACCGGATAAATACGGTCCGACTTCCCCTATCTTGAGATGCAGGGAACATTATTTGTTCTACGTATTTTTATAAAACCCAGCAATAAAACGTTTGCTTTTTACATTTTTTAGGGATCATAAATAAAAGTGCTCCTGTAAAATTGCATTTTAAGCATTTCCCAACGTATACTATCACCTTCTGGCCGACCTATTGAATATTTTGCATGATGTAAAAGTTTTCTCATTTTGTGGCAACAATTTCGTAACATTTGGAATTTATGGTTTTTAATGAAATTATATCAGTAGTATTGCCGAAAGGTTGCTCAAGTGCTTTTTATTATATCTCATTATAACTTTTGGTTTATGTAAAGGAGTAATAAAGATATATATTAATTTTATAAAATTTTGGACTAAAACTTAAAACTTTCATGTTGTGACTACAGTAGGTACTCTAAGTAAAATCTATTGATAAAGGATCCGGTCTACAACTAATTAACAACTAGTTAAGACACTAACTGTTAACTAGTTTTCTGGTCATTTTGATATAAACTGTCAATAAATTATATAAACAGATTACTAAGGCCCATGTCCGGTGCGGAGTTGAAACTTGCTAGTGGGGTTCACAAGAAATTAAATTATGAGATGACAAAATGAGTAACGCCCTTTTTGAAGATTAACAAACAAAACCTATGCTATGAGGGTCACGACGTTAATTCTGTTACTGCAAATGACTCTATTCTTCTACAATCGTTGGGAACAATGTTATAATTTATGCATTGTTCTCATTCATTTGGTTTAGATTTAGTTTTACAATTTTATCGCTATCCATTTGAATGTTGGACCAAGTTTTCGTGTATGATCTACATTGTGGAAGTATTTTGAATAAAATACAAATATACAGTTGTTAGCGGCTAAACGCACGTTCCATTATGCATGCAGTTTGTGTTGGTGCTTTATAGTGGTGATTTCTATGCTATTAATGTTGCAGTAACCGTGGAAAATTTGCTACGCTTTTTGTGAAACGTAGTTGTATAGAAAACTTTATTAATACATAATATCCGGGTGAATTAACTGTTGCTGTGTAACATTTTATTTTTTAAAGCGATAATAATCTTTTTATTTCATTTACAATATGGCTGTACATGTACGTTTTAAATATCATACGATATTTTACGACATGATCTGTATTTCGAAAACAATAATATATTTGAATAACGTCCGTATTGGGAATACCGAATAAATGTTTGCATAAATAAAGTTAAATTTCATTATAGCAATTTCTACCTGTGTTATATGAAAAATAAAGATAATTTGTTATGTTTTCCGTGATTTCACGAAATGGCTATTTTCCCGCGTTCCATACTGACCACAAAATTATGGAGTACGGCAAGGGGAATACAAATTTCGAATGGTTCGCAATCCAATTAATTTTAAAAATCGCCATAACGAAAGGGCTTTGTTGTTATGTAAATCTGTGTAAAGTTTGTCAGACGTAGGCATGACTAATTGTTAATTCGGGTAATGCGCTTACGAGAGTGGGACACCGCGGCACATCCCGTTGTAATAAAGGATTACACGGTTCACGCCCGACCTAAAACGGAGACGACACTGCATTGCCTTAAGTTGGGGTTTTGGTTGTAGTTAAAAGGAAGCTTCGTCTAAAAAATATTTACCCCCCTCTATTTTAAATTCTGCAATTTGATACACTATTCTGTCATAAGAATTTTTATGTCGCATAATATGTATATTTATATGTCTTTTTGTCGTAACAATCATATAGAAAGGATTTTTTCTCAATAAAATATATAAAGGTATATGAAGTAATGCTAGCTCGATATATTCGGTCGTATAATTCCTTGTTAAGTTCTTCATCATGTCCAATGTGTCTTTGCGACATGGACCCTTGTCTGCCGACATATTGGCCGGAAGTAATTTCCAATAAAGATCTTTAGATCCTCAGCTGTAATATGATCGAACGAATTTCTACTGTCTATTTTTTATACGCCAGTTGGATTTCACAAATGTTTTTTTAAAAAACAGTATTTTTATGGTTTTATTTCATTTTTATTTCATAAAACCGGTCTATTGAAAACATTTTTTGATGGAACTTTAAAAAATATGTTATTTTTCGTGGAATACTAGAAAAAATAAGAATCGCAAAAATAATTTGTTAGTGGTTTCGAATTTCCTTTATCCCTCGCCCTAGTTTTAAAAGCAAACAGCGTAAAATCACTAGCCTATAATCTGACGGCGTGGTTTTGATTCACGTTATTATTTAATGGTGATGAAGTCTGCAGCGTGAAATAGAATAATATAGAACGTTATAGAATATGGTCCTGTGGGTGAATACTTGGGAGCTTGGTGTGGCAAATGTAAGATACTCGTAATCTCTCACTAGAATGACCTAATTGATTCCACAACATTAATTTCTAGGTATTTTGGGGTGTATGAGCTTAGTGAATTGTTTTAACGATAATCATAATTCAGAACTCTTGTACGGCTCAAAATTATATATAGTTTACTTTTACGTATTGAATGTTCGAGGAAACAGTTTTACTATTCTAATGGTTCCAAACACATATGAAGCTTCGAGCTGCTGGATTTATCTATCTGTAATATAGACATTAAATTACAATTGCAATCCAAGCATATTAAACAAGAACAAACACTTGAAGGATTTCAACTTCAAGTACTTACATATGCTAATATAAGTTATTTGATCGTAACAGCGCAATATGATGTTTGTTATACTCATATGTTAGTTAAAGTTGTGTTTGACAAATTCGCTAACTTTCCGGCTATGATGCGATATGCAATCTAATCTTCGGACCGCATCCTGAGACAAACTAGCTAACTTCGCTAGTTCGTGCATTGTATTGCAAAGCTTACTCACGTGAGATCAGCAATAAGTTAGACTACCTTGTGTGTTAAATGCAGTGATGCTGGTATATGGTCCGCAAATATTATAATATGACTAAGTGTAAGATAATTTAGTTGATTACAATGTTACAATTAAAATTTTAAAACCGAACTATGATAAGAGAAAACTGAAAAAGAGATCACAAGATTTAATAAAATTATTGGTTGAAGACATTTTAGTTTATCATTGAATATAATGTATTACTAGTTTTCACTTTTACTTTTAATATTCTACTATTTTTATACATATACTTTGAATATGATGTTTGTAAATATATATGGTTTTGTTTAAAGAAACTTGACAAAGTCGGTTACATAAAAAAAACATTATTATATATAAAATTAAGATGTTATCCTCTCTTTTTCAAATTGAGAGTTTTTATTATTTCATAAAATATTTAGTTGTCTATAAATATAGTGTTTTAATTAATAGTTGCTTTATCTAAAAATAATCTTCCATTAATTGCGATGAACTATTACTTTTTGTTCTTGTTTTATTTATGTTAGTAGATATTTTAACTAAAGATTCACAAAGTGTACTTACGTATAGCCGTACGTCTACAGTTTTACATTAGACGAAGTACCTGGTAATAAATTCTCCAAAATTACCTTTAGCACCTTTAGTAATTTTATTATTATATAAAGCATACGCAATTTCAGAACGTAATTATGGGCAACGGTTTCGGGGGCAATTTGCGTAAACATAGTGGGATATTAGCAATTCATACGAAATAGCATATAACAATAGTAATCAGAGACCAGCCAGAAATCACATTTCGTCGTCGGGCGAGGCGGTGCCAAGCACAGATTTCGTAGGCAATGTATCGTGAAATTAGTTTAGTGGCACTATATAATTATGTGCCCTCACTTTTTTATGAACCCCAGTTCTCGCTCCCCAATGTTATGACGAAAATGTCAACCCGGTATGCGACTTGATGAATCGACACTATTTTAAACCCCTCTCGGACTTTCCTATATTAACAGTTTTGACATCTTATAAGGTTCGCGAAAAATGTTTTGCTTAAAAATCCCTTTCATCTCAAATAGGTGTATTATTGAACAATTAAATATATTATTTTAACGACCTTTATACAATAAATTTTGTACTAATTGTAAAGGCGATAAATAAAAGACATACTGCAAGATACATTTCATAGATTTATTATATAAAATCTTATTCTACTTCTGAAATTTAACTTACATAGTATAGTAACATGTGAAATGTACAGAGCAATTACCAATAGTATAGGCAATAGTATTTAGCTATAATTATTGCGTTGGATCATCCCAAGGCTGGGACGTCCGTTTCTTTAACAACTATGATACTTAAGTACTTAGGTACACATAATTTAATAAACGACGAAGCTCAGATATTAAATCCTATTTATATCTATTTCGATTCATGTATTTACATCATGATATGAAAGAAGTTACACATAGCGTTACATTAGCGAAATTATTAAGCACATATAATATGTTATCACTACTTAGCTGAATAAATATAATGGAATTGATTTAAATTGAGCTTCTAATATATAGATGAATTAAATGTTATATTTAGTATAAAATGGCCGGTTCAGTTATCATTTTGCTATTTTTGAATTCCAGTTACACTAATACAAAGTAAAATCGATTGCGCTATAATGAAACTCGCTGAATATTTTCATTTATAAATAATTAGAAAATATATTTGTTTTTGTATAATGAAATTCGTTTGTAAACGTCGACTGATAAATATAAATAGTATGACGTAAGTACAATATGATACAAGCTCTTACTTAGTAATATGATATGAAAACGAGTGGATTCATTTACACCTTTGCAAGCTTTCCATCACTCTTAATGATCCACTTGCAATAAAATATTGGATAAAATTGAATGTAACTCTTTTATATCATTATTACATTTCATATTATATTTTTGTTGTTATTTGGCAAGTGAACATTTTTGTAATTACCTCATATTGATGATCGAATAAAATATATGATTTTTATAGATCATCGTTTAATGAATCTGATATTTAAAAGTTCATAAAAATTTTGCTATAGGTTTACGTCCTCAGAAACAACAAAATTAATCATCTTGTAAAATCTTCAAGAATTATCTTATAACAGTTTAGTGTAAATTAAGGTCGACGACAACGACACGATTTTTTAACGTTAATATCTATTGATTCCGATATCTGATATTGTAAATGAGAACGTGAGCCTACTGATTATTTTAAAAATATTTATGAATGAGAACAATACGGGAAACTTTACTTACTCGCTAATTCTAAACATTTAGATTAAATTTGTTTGTACAAAAATATGCAGAGTATTTCCTAAACACTGGCTACGATACACTAATATTTCGTTTTATATGAAATTATATTTAATATATATATATTATTTAGAGTAAATATACGCAGAGACAACGATAATATAGAAAGCAGTTTTACTATTCGTTTGTCTATGCATATAAAACTAGAATGAGCAAGCTTTGCTGAAGTTTTAGTAAACATTATTATTGCTGTTTTTAGTCGACTCAGGTTGCACCATGTATTAAATTTTTTTATGTTTTATTAAGTACATTAGTTATCAGATGTTATTTATAATCTCAATATGATTTAGAATTTAAAATAACAATGTTTAAAAACCCGTCACTTTATCTTAAACATAATGGCAGTGGCAAAGGAATATGTGGACTATTAACTACTCTACTTCATATTTGAAAAACGTTTGTTGTGTGTGAACTAAAAACTATTGTTGTAAAATTTTTTATGTCTATGGATTAATTTTTTTTTCGAGAAACGAGCCCTGAATTTGAAATTGTAGTGCCTCGTAATATATGATTGCTATTTTATTTTTTATGATCTCCTTCAGTTATCTTTAACTATAATTGCTATCAATAACAACAATTATTTTCCGAGGCACCACTGTTCCCCAAAGGATTACTTCCTTCTTGATTTTAATATATTAAAACAAATACATGCAAAGAATGAACTCTTAAATATCCCCTAAACGAACTTCTTATATATCACAGGCTTAAATTATATATTTTTATGTTTAGGGACGTGCATACATACACTTATATAAGAAATGAATAAGGTGACTATTTACACGAACAGGGGAAAAATAATGAGTCTAACCTTTCCACAACCCTCGGAGATTTGAATTAGAAAGCTGCGATACCCATTAGTCGAGTAACCAATCTTGATCATTTAGTTACTAACAAACTTAATTACAACAGATCAAGGTACATGGGCTTCATTAGTTCAAAAATGTATTTATTTCATAATACAATTATTTGGTTGGGTTGAAGTAGGTATTTAAATATATTCATTATCTAGTTTTGAGATTGTTATTATTAATCGGATCTTACAATATGTAAACTGTTAGAATTAAATTGAGAAATAATTACGAACAAATAAAATTTAACACGTACTAGATATTATACGAATAAATACAATAATTAATATCGCTTTAACATACATTTAAAAGGCGTAAATGCACAATCAAAATTTTTTTCATCACTAACAATCTACTTACAAAGCGTAAGTACTTACATAGAGTTTAAAACCATTTTACATCCAACAAAGCAACGCACAACGCTAGGAAATCCTTAACATTAAGAGGTCCATCACCCACCCATGTTTCCGCTGTGTTGTTGGACGATGTGTGACTGTCAGTGTCACATCTGTCACTGTCACAGGTAGAGCTGTCACTGTCACTATTACAGCTGTCACTGTCACTGGTAAAGTTAAAGGATCACTAGATTCACTATACGTATATTGAGCTTCGTGTTACACTTGTTTTTTTTTTTTATATTATCTGAAAGTATTGTAGGCCATTACGAACGTAAGGTATCGGTATGACCCCTATGAAGTAGTTGACGGATTGAAACATGAGGTAGGCGACGTTCAGAAGCTATCACACGATCTCGTTGGGATGCGTATTCTGATTGGAGTCGTTTTGACGTGCACATTGCTGCAAGAAATACATTTGTGAGTGACTTAAAAATGAATACAAATGTTATTACTTACGATTTAGAGTTTTCTTATAAGAAAATATAATATTTTTTGAGTTACATCCATAAAAGATTATATTAAAACTTTTGTTGTTTAAGAAATTTCCAAAAATTTACCTCTTGCTTCCTTTCCCATGTTTTCATAGCCGTCTTATATTTTTCGAATTCGTGACACCAGTTTGAGTATATCTTCTGGTACTCATTGCTCTTTTCGGGTGGAGAACATCTGTAATATAGGGTTTTACAATATCTATTTTATCAATTATTGTTTATTTTTGTAAGCAACATCAATGTATTCTCTGTTCAGTAACAAATAATCGCTGAATCACCACAGTGATATTACATGGCTATAGTAGTGGTATGCCATTAGTCGTACCAACGTGAACTCATTTATATGATATACCAACGCAGTAAACTGTCCATCTATGTTAGGCATACATTGATACATATATTGATGTATATTAGTTGGATTAAACTTGGGTACAATAATGATGTTGATCTGAGAGAATAATAGCTCGGTTAAGCAAGTTATTTCCCTTTTATTTGTCCACGAAAGAGTATTATTCAATTGATAATTAACAAGAAAAAATGCACCCAAAGTTATAATCAATTAGCTTTTTTACGTATGATGATGGTTAGTTAATAAAAATGAACTAAGTGAGTGAAAGAATAGAAAATTCATCTCGAAAAAACGGTTTAACAACACTACGTTTGATTGAAAAATAGCTAGTTTGATCAATTTTGGGGTTAATATATAAGTATTAATTATTATTATCGACTTGGGATGCGAAGTAGTTTTTGTACCTCAATCGTTTTTAGTCACGACTGAAAAAATTCCGATAAAAAAACATATTCTTTTTCTACACTACAAAAGGAATTAAAGCTATTTTTCATGTTTTAAATTTGTGGAAGTACAAGTCTAGTGTACAGAACGCTACCTCCCACGTAAGTTGTTGTATCTCCAAAACTGTAAATTTACAGTAGAGCGTTTCAAAGATTCAAATTAAACCAAAATCTGCAAAATTTAAAAATTACAAGGATTTGCGTGTTTTTGTTGTTTTTTTACTTTGAATGGATATAATGATCCATAGTAGGATATTTTTCAGAAAAAAAGCAAAATAGCAACTACTTACGTAAGAAGTATCGAGAAATGTGTGGATAAAAGTAAATTTTTAGATAGAATAGTATTATCATACCGATGTGTGTCGACCGTGACGTTGTATGAACATAGCAGCGACCCTCCCAGCCAGCAGTCGTACCTTCCAGCGTCAGTCTCACTCACTGATATGATCAGCAGACCGTGTTCAGATGTCTCTATGTATTTCTCCGGTTTGCTGTTGGTAATTTGAATAAGTTACTTTGTCTGACAGATTGGCGGAAACATTCAGTGGTATGTTAATACTTTTGTCTAAGAAAAACCGTTTTTTTTTTATATCTTTATACAATTGACAACTATTTCACAAAAATCTCCTAAGTGGACGGATTATTACGTAATTATGAAAGATAGCCAGCAATAAACAAATTTAAATTGCGTGTAAAAATATCATTTCAAGTAATTTAGTACCTCATTTAAAATAACTTGGTATACCCATTTAGCCTCGTTGAATTTGATACCCTATTTGTATTAAAAGAAATTACAGAACAGAATAAACCCCCGTTTAAAGTAAAGGATGGAGTAGATGAATAGAGCGGAATCTCGAGTTCCCTTTGCATTTTAATTACACCAACGGAAGTGCGATAATGGGGAATTTGGAAACACTTTAATTAATGTTATTACATGCGTGTTCTCTTCGTGTGTACATTGAGTTATTGTTCTTTGTTACTCTTTATCTTTTGTAAAGAAATATAAAACATTTTAAGGGACTATTACTGTAATATATTATTTTTATGAAAATCTTTATTGTTTTATCTCAAACATCTCTGAAAAATGGACATACCTAAGTGGATAACAAACTCAAATACATATGCATACATTTAATGTGTATATATTTTTTTCTAATGGATGAACTTACTTGAAACTAATCGAATGTCTTCCATCTCTTGTGTAATGATACCACGAGATAGCTCGTGGGTGTAGAACCTCTGGCATCTTAACAAAGCTTCCCAGATGCAGACTCTGTCCCCACGTCGCTGACACAACTTTCCTTGAGATCGAAGTATCACAAATGTCTGCTGTTTCGTTCGCAACATCTTGTATCAAGCTGTGAAACAATCATCAAATTATTATAACCTTTAATTACTTGCTATGGACAAAACAAAAATTACTAAACGTTCTCTTTCATCTGGTTAAAACTCGAACAAGGTAAGATCGATTTTGTGGTTCTTGCTAAAAAAATCGACGCACATGGTTACGTTAAAGGTAGTAAGTGAAAAAAAAATTGGGTACTTATCAAATCGATAACAATTGTCTGAAGAATTTAGATATATTCTTGAAAAATGAAACACGTTAATGCTAATGAATAAAAATAATCCGTTTGGTAAACCCAAGGTCTATATGTTTATATTTTCAGCGCATATAGAGCAGATGTTGCGAAGCTTAGCCACAGCGTTAGAATTGTTTATAACAGGTTTGCATTACTCGCATAGTGTTATTAAATTTCACGGATATATACTCAAATCGAATAAAGTTCGATTATTGTATGCGCATATTAATTGGCCTTTAGTGTTCCAGTTATTTTTCGGTATATGATAAAGTGTTTTGGAAATTAATCTATGAATATCTCAATTAATGCTCAACTAAAATGTGTATTTTGTATTACAATTAATGTTTTTAAATTAATCTTTGTATTATATATTACTTATGGGCTTTAAATAAATAAGTAAGGTTTAAGTAGTATAGCCTAGCTGTGGTTAAGTTACTTCAGCTCGAATATGGTTTGGCTCGACCGAGGAAGTACCACCCATTTACAGATGATCGGAGTGAAATAGCCTTTAATGGCTGCGTTTCGTCCGATGAGAGAATGAACCGGTTGCCTTTTCCCTCCTTTTCCCACTTTTTATTCCCTCTCTTCCCTAATTAAAGGTGACACATCGGCAATATCTTTTATGATAAGAATATCCATGGGAGACGGTACTACCTAAAACACTTTTTGCTTACCCAGGCATATATTCCCTGCATACTCCCGCCTCTCGATCCCAGCCGCAGTACGGATCTCTAGCGCAGCGAACGCAAGCGTCGTAACGTCGCGCGCATAGAGCAAGTCGTAATTGAAGCACGCGCCGATCTGACGCCGCGTACAGAGATCCATGTATACGTGAGATTGCCATAGCCTGTTGTGTAACAATAATAAATTATTATCAACATATATACGATGTTTTTTACAATAAATAATATCACATTTTTTAAAACTGTACACTTAAAATAGCGAACCGATTGTGTAGCTCTTGAAAGTGTTCTCGTCATCAATGTTAAAAATTTCAACAACAATTTTTATCACGTTCATGTGTAAAGCGAGTGTTAAAATGCAATTTATTCTCCACATACCTGAATTGGTTCGCCGGGAGTCACATCGAAGATGTCAAGTAAAGCTGACTGACTGTCCCCGTTCCGAGACCATTGAACGATTTTATGAATTTTTCCTTCATCTGTGACAAATAAAATACATTCTATAAGCTATAGACACTGATAATACTACATATATATATGTACTTTTATAAATCACTACACCCGTTTTGATCTCATAAACATTGTTGAATACATTTTATCCTATAAGTTAAGGTTTAAAAAATTCAAAGAATTAATTAAAAATAAACCTATCTAACAATAAGTTGAAAGGTTGTTTTAATTAATAAATACGTATATTTAATATTCCCTTAACGTATCCTTTTTGAATGTTCATTTTCTTTCTTGTAATTAGGTGTTCTCTTATTTTAGAGCAACGTCTAGCCATGAGAGAAATTACTATGGTTCGTTACATCAGGGATCAATTAGCGAGGACCGAAAGGCTGTTTATTGTATGTACACCCTTCGCCCTCCTTCGTTTGCTAAGTACGTTTTTGGAGCGACTTTGCTGATAGGCCCGGAGTTCTTTGTTCACAAAGTTTTCCAAGCTTAAAACAAAGCGTTTTATTTTAAATAACGGTGAAATGGTTAAAGGACGGTAAATTTTCATTTAAAATGATGAATGTCTTTGTTTTTATAATTGTCATACTATTGAATGAAATATAAATTATTATTATACGGGAAAATAAACTGAATTAATACTACATATCTTAACGCTAAAATGTGAACACAGTCCTATTAAGATTTGTTAGACATCAAACAGCTACAAATAATCGCATGAATTATTCTTATCTTAATAAGTTTACGTAAACATTAATAAAAGATTTCATTTCTTTGTTTAAAATATTAATATAAAAGCGGCTAGACAGCCCAAACGGGCGCGCCGCATAGCGTGCTCGAATATCGCTATAAACCGAGTTTTCGATTACTTAGAATCAGTCATTGAAGCATTTAACAAACCGCAACCTATTAAACCAGGCATGCAACGAACCAATCGTAATTCTGGTTGGCTCACTAAACATCGGTTACAACCCGCGACCACCATTCGTGTACAATATTTGTTAAAATAATCGCCATCTGCTGTGGCGGAATACCGACGTTGTATCAGGTGTGTTTTATATACAATGCATACACAAAACTAATAATAGTGTTCATTTAGTAGAATGAATTAACTTAGCTTATTTAATAGTCTTTATTCCTTTTGATACTATGCATACAAATAAACTTAATGCAATATATCCGTATAAAATGCAGTACATGAATTACAAAGCGAACGTGATCGGAATGATTTGACCAGTGTCAATAACATAAGGCCAGAACCAAATGTAGACTCCTTGGAAAACGGCCTACAAATTAATATTCGGACCACGAATCATAATAGCTAATTGGATTAGACATGTACCGAAATTACCAAACTGAGTTACGCACAATAGTGTAGAGTGTACGTGGTTGAGTTAGGGTTGCTCGTTGGTGGAAATTTATTTATATAGTTCATTCCACATAACATATGGTGAGCTTTTATTATCAAGTCACAGAACTATGGCGTGAGAGAAACGAAACATTATATTATACAGAAGAAAACTGATTTTGTATATTGTGTATGCAAAATCTTGATAGTAAATCGAGTTTCATGAGTACATAAAATACATTTTTATGTAGGCACTAAGGATATTAGAATATAAAATAAAAAGTGTCTCAAACAGCCCTAACCAATAGTGTAGATCGTACCGAGTGGCAAAGCCTATTGCCAATCGTTAGAATTTTATTTAAATAATAGTTGCCGTGTAAAAAACTGTATTATATATGTATGTATATTAATCAGTATCAACTTAGCTACCTACTAAGAAATAAAGAAATATACTTTATTGAAATAAATATTTTTAAAAGTACTTACAAGTTACTCAAATGAATCTTGATGTCTGTTTATGGACTCATGGCTAAGTATCAAGAAAATATTGGAGACAATTAATTAATATCACAAAAATAAAAGCGTATAAAAAATATCCGTATGTTTTTTACAGATTCTTCAGATAAATTTTGTTCCTCAATATATAAAAAAAGACTTCTACGATACTTTATTACTATAGTGAATATTTCAGAGGAACCTTTTATTAAAAGTCTTTCTAGAACTCTATTTTGTAGTTTAATAAACAAAACCAAATAGTGCTAGTATAAACACATTTCAAAACTAAAACTCATTTTCCTGTTTGTATAACAAACTATAACTTTGATTTATCTATATATTACTACCTTTTATTATTAACTGTTATATACTTATTTCTTGAAACATAAAACGTATAAATAAATCTTTAAAAAATGTCTAAGAATTCGTTTGCAAGTTTAATTCTGTCCCATACATCGAGTATAGTTGTGACAAATGTTCAGTTAAATCATCTGAAAACGGTGTCACGATCTAATGAGACTTATTCAATTAGTCAATCTCATTTATATTAAAGCAGTAAATGTTTGACGGAGCACATTAGTTTTCCAAACGACGCTGCGTGATTGACGTGAACAGGCACCAGTAATTATGTTCCTTGAATACCTTATGAACTAAGTTCGTTATACATATATAGAAATTCTACCTATAGATCTTTGTTGACAGAATTGCTACTGAATTTGCTGAGCCATTCCGGTAACACGTTTTCAAATTGTAATTAAATCTAAACACAATTCTTCATGGATAAATAACAAGTGATTACATTCACTTCTATTTTTGACTTTAAATATAAAATGACCTCTTAAGTGTATTTAATAGTAAAGTTTAGTGCTATGTACGTACAAATACATTGACGTAATGGTTTTCATATAGAAGATATAATCAAATCTCGGATTATGATGGCATAGCTCTGTCTGGCATACGGTAAATCAGTTTATAGAGGGAATATTTAATCAAGCGTCGTCCGGTCATAACGGCCAAGTGCTCTTAAACCTACATTGTACGGAGTTAATAATGTTCCTAACTTGTTATTAAATTTACAAAACGGGAAAAGTAAATATTTTCATTTAACAGCTCGATAGATATAGTTAAAAATAAGGTTTAAATTATTAAGAAGAATAATTTTAAAAAAAGTTTATATTTTTTTATATATATTATTGACATAACCCAGATGGAATTTTTCAAGCATTTTTTATTTAGAACGGAGGGAAATTCAATCAATAATATTAAAACACTTTTCTAAAATACATGACAGATCCCATGTCATATTTTAAACATGACTATATTATCCTGTTGAATGTTACATAGTTATAATAAACCCGGGCGCAAAATCATGAAGTGACCTCCATTTGAAATGTAAGTCTTTAAGCAATGCTTAAGCATTTGTACCGCCTCTATAGTTAAAAAATTATTAAGGAATAGAATAGTTAAAAATAAAAATACTATAATATCAATGTTTTGTATAAAAAATAATACATAATTATGATCATTTTTGGTTTTTCATGTTTTCAATGTATTATCTTCATTAAAGTTTCAACAAGTAAATCGACCATTAAAGCTATTTTTAAATGCAGTGTTTTATCACAAACGATGTTTAAAAGTAAATTTTTAAAAATATCATCAATCATTTGCGAACATAAGGTATAATTTTTTACGGTCGACAGAAGTCAAACCACGTACGTATTTCAATTACAGTCATTTCAGATACAATTGAAGCAGCGTGATTACCTTGGAAGGTATAATAAAGGATAATGAGATACATATTTAGGGCAATAGTGCCGACATAAATGTACCATAGAAAGTAATTGCCCAATACCTTAATATTTGGCCTTGCCGCTGTAAAGATATAATCGTAGTATGACCTTAATTGCAGCTATAAATGCGGAATAATGCTGAAATTAATATTAAATAGGATCGTTTTAATGTTATTTAAATAAGGTTTACACAAAATAGTTGTATAAAATTAGGGTTTATTGCTACAATTACTATAAGCTTACAGTTTTATGTTCTTTTTAATGAACTTTCTTTATAGGTATTGTAGCAGTTAGACAAAAATTACTGAATAAATCAAAATAATTGCTTACAAAAGTAAACACAAATATTAAACCACAATAAAATTATGTATGTCAATACAATACAATGTATGTACATACATATATGGTAATTTCATGTAGATTATGTCTGAAATACATTGTTTCATATGAGATCAATTTGATGCGATAATAGAACACGAGAAATCGTTCAGAGTATTTCACGTGACTTGAACTTATCTTGAATCTGCTTACAGCAAGCCTGTTACATTTTAAGACGTAAGAGATGTTTGCACTATATAATACCATATTATAATGCGGCTTATATATTGTAGCTCTATTCGTGTAAAGGAGCTTAAAACAAACATTTTGTTCCATAATTATTTCCTATTTATAGTTTTCATTTTAATTACCTCGAATTAAATGACAAACGTGCTTGTAAGTGCTAACCGTCCTAGTTGGACAAATTCTTCAAATGGAAAGTATATATGTATATAAATATATGTTCTTAGAAATTAAGTAGATCATTAATTCCGATAACAGTGGATCTAGCAAAATAATTAAACAATACCACATTGCTTGTGATCGGGGAATTCCCGACGGAATCCCCGTCTTTAATAACAAATTAGATCTACAAGGTAAGCTCGCTGGCACGTCTGACCGTAAACTCTTAAGGGCGCGGAGGAAAATGCCAAAATCACCAAAATAAGGAAGGCCATTTATTTGATTATACGTAAACTTTCTACTAAGAAAAACGGCTTTCGTAATAGAAGCAATCTGTATAGCATCCCGTAATAAAAATAATATTAAGAACATACTATTTTCATCAGAGTTTCTGTTTTATAAAAGATCATTGAATTCATTTCATTACAGCGGTATCAAAGCTAAGGGTTAGCGCAGGTCGTAATTATGTTTCCATATTTTCCTAGCCAATGATCAGGGAACCTTCAATAAAGGTTCAAAGAAATAATCCTGCCAATCCAATAAAGATTTCGCCTCGACAGGCCTTAAGTGAAAACTTTTTTGCGATCCCTAACAATATAAGTTTTATTCCTCGAAGTGGTATAAATTCCCAAACACAAAGTAGCTCTAACATCTTTATTGGTTTTCATAAAAAAGACCCCGCTTAACCTATAGATATCCATAGAGCCAATTGGATGGCCTCCTTTTAAAATCTACCTTTCGCGCCAACATGTTTGCTTTTAGCAGGTATTATATTTTATCCCGATCCCACCATTTTTTTTATTTATCATTACAAACAATTAGTTAATATTACACACAATTGAACAGTTATACTGGTCAAATATATTTTATAATAAAATAAACAAAAGGAGATTTTTGATGTAATCCGTTTTATAAATTCACATTGAATATATATTTGATAGTTTAAAGCTCACTTTACAGCACGATTTATTTTCGGATATCGCTTACTTTAATCGTATTACGAATTAAACACTTTGTAACAGTACGTGATCCACATTTAAGTAGTAAATGCGGATTCTGCGATTAATATCAACAAATTTGTGAGGACTTTTATCATGAATCGCAATATGTATTTTATAGGAGCCGTAAATCGAAAAACGCGGCTTCTAACGTTTGCCTACGAGCTCTCCGACTTTTATGAGATTTGTCGTTAGAAATTTTATGTGATCGACTGAACCTTTTGACCGATTCAGTGCTGTTTACATTTTAAATCGATAGTGGTCATATATATTTATGTATTGGCATACACCTAATATTTTCAAAGTTAAACGAAAAGTTTTGAAGTTGTCAAGTGTATGTCGAATAAAACAAAAGTATCAGCTTAATACTTTGTGTTTTGTTATAAAACACGGCTTTGTCGTGAATATTACACTAATATATTCGGGAAACAGGGTGTATTTTTGAATATTAAATTCAATAAATATTAAATAAGGAGACCCGTGCTTGTTTTTATATATTTTTATAATAAGCAAACAGTTATTCCAAACACGTTCTAAAGGTGTATTTTTGAAGACGGCTTTTGGCCAGCATTTGGGATGCCGTGGACGCGCCACCCTAAACTCTCGTATACCTTTTGATATTCAATATACTATGGGTCCTAAGCAATCCTTTGATGAGATGGTTTATGCAAAAAACGTTGAGCGATTTTGGCGGGGCGCGAATAAGCGTTCAAAAGTGAACGCATTAGTATTCCTGATCCCGACCACAACGCTCTCCCCTACAGATTCGAAAAAATCAATGTTTATTCTAACGGCACGCGATTTGAATACTAATTATGAAATTTAGCTAATTGTTTATGTTTCTTCGCACATTTTGAACATTGTTTGGTAATTTATACAAATTTCACTCGTGTAAATTTTGTTACTTTAAAACAAAAATTTGTTATAAAATTTAAATTGCGTTTTGGTATTCCTTTATAAGAGTAAAGAATGCTATAGTTGTATTTTAACTTCATGTCAACCTAAAACCTTTGATACTGGATAGTTATGTGTCCTCTTTGTACTTCCGTATATAAAATTATGCTAGATTTTCTTTTACTCTGCACGATATAAAACTTTCAAAAGATTTTTACGCTTTTTTAACTTGGATATAACGTAGAGGAATTTTTATGAAACTTGGAATTAAATAAAAGTATGTTAATGAAAGATATAAGATTGCTTCTTTTTAAATTATGTAATTTAATTAAGTAATACGTTATGAGATCACAATGTACACATAATTAAATGCTCTACTAGTAACTAGTAAAGGCATTTGCAGACGAAGTACAATTGCGTATCAGTGCAAAATAAAGTACAGTACTCCGCCATGGAAACTATAAATTACTTTGAAACTTGCGATTCTATATATCACTGCTATAAATATTGCTCATTTTCGTCCTGTGGGCAATGCAAGTCGATGGACCCCGGAGCGATACTACGTCAGAGAAACTTCGAGAGGCACTGGGAAGAATATTTCATCGATTATAGGGAGGCTTGCAATATATTGCTACAGAGAATACGATAATTTAACCACCTTCACATATCATTTTGTAGGAATCGCATTTCATGTTTATGGCGAAACTTAGACTTCATGCTCTTAGCGAAATGGGTTTCCGATACTTATAAAAGCAATATCGTACCGTATCACTAAATATAAAGTACTTAGATGCTCATATTATACATGGAATTTTTAAATAACTGACCTACTCTTGTAACGAATTTTACTTTTAATCAAACCCCCGTGGGTTAGCCCGTGCAAAACTACAGTATTCGTTAACAGGAGACATCTTTGATATACGAAAATTGTGCGTAACCGAATTCCGTGTTATCAAAGGACCCAACGTTTTGCGACTTCGAGTGTACGTAATGATGTTATCAAATAGCTATCATATTTCCAGTGGTGACTCGACCGTTAAGCCGACTGTGAATTTTAAATCGTTTTTAAAAGCCTCGTATCCCACATGTGACGTCAAAGCTAGCTCAGGCAGATCTGTCTACTATTTAATTTCCAACTTTTTGCTAGCCCCACCACTCTTTGTGACACATATTGTGAAACGGTTTCTTTATGTTTTGAACGTTGTAATTAATTTAAGACACATTGTTAACATGGTAAACTGTCTACGTGCGATATGCTAACATAAATATTGTGTTTCCCATATACAAAGGCGCCCTTGATGCTAAGACTCTCGGCGTTGACATCAACTCGTGGAATTTAATTAACTTTGTTAACTTCTAAAAACTCTTAACGTCTTTGATACCTCGGTTCTGTTCCATTGACAAACAGGGGCTCGTGTACATGACAGAGACTGCCAAACTTTCATTAGGCCTCGCGGAGTGTCTCAAAGTTGTGTGGCAACAGTGATTTAGGGGTGATAAAACAAATGGGACGAAGCGAGACATGGTTGGAGCCCGCAATGCGGGGCATCTTACTCTCATTTCTCATTGTCTCGGGGCTCCTACGGCAAGATACAACTTGGTAGCGGCATCGCCGTAATGTCGGTGCAGTTTAATGCATATTATAACGTAGCAAGCACTCGAAATGGGTTAAACGGGAAAGTAATATTGCTGCAGACACCGAGGCATAAGCAAACTCTTTATTGAAAGAGTAAACTGTCCTTTTTCACGAGACGCCTCGGGCTCTTTGTGATACTACAATTTTTCTCAACTTATTTGGTGCTTCAAACTAAATAATAGCGAGCTAAGTTGTATACGGATTTATACACATATATATTTCGTCTTTTCTATGGATTGAATGCACCAGACCATTAATAGTAAAGTTCTTTCTGGGATGTGGAAGTGGCTGCAACGTTTACGCTCTTTATTGCGACCTAGTTGTTGTATCGACTAACTTATACAGTGTGTTAATGTTTGGAAGAGGGTTTTGCTCCACTATCGAATATGGAAACAAAGTTACATTATGCAGATTAAGTTAGAGTAATTATTACGGTACGTGGCTAGAGCAGGAAAGGGAACGTCAAAGGTAACGCTTAAACGATTTAATATTCCACACAAGCATTTGAAACGCCAACTCAAACGTAGCTTTCCTTTCGTGAAAGTTGTTCCGTAAACGAACTCCCCCTTCATTAGATATCTACGTGAGTTTAATTCATTTTGTATTCTCACAGTAAAGTTCTCTGCTTGTTCCGATACGATTTTATACGAAAATTGATGAAAATTGCAACAGTAAAGGTGGAAATTACCAGTCGCAGACGTTGTTTAGGCCGTTGGTTCGGATTTATATGTCACTGAAAATGTGACGTGAGGTCTTTGCGGTGTACACGATCTACGAGCGAGTTGCATCGCACCAAACAACTACGAAAATGCGGTTTTCACTGAAACATATAGTGCCGATGAAATCGGATCTGTAAACTTGCGTCATGCAAACCCGTCATAAAAGATATCTTTTGTAGGAGGATTGGCTACCACTTTAACAGATTTAATCCTATATTCGGTCGTTAATAATATAGGAAACTAAAAGTATTTAATTTTTTCACATCCTTAGTGAGTAAAAGTGATCACTCAAAGGTGAAAGTAACTAGAATTTTCAGACTACAGCAGGATTTTTAAAAGGCTCAAAGTAAATTTCTCTTACCTACGTCAGGAAAATAACCAAACGGAATGCTTTTCGGGTACACAGTTTAAAAGCTTTAGTGCAACCTTTTAAAAGTTAATAAATTGAGAGTTGACAAAAGCGTTAAAGAGTAGGTGTTGCACACGCTATTTGATTACAAACAATGATAGTATAATCGGTTTTTCGTGTTTTGAACTCAATCTCTTGTTTCGTTAGTGAATGTGAACGTGAAGTATTTGGGTAAGCGATGGCATTCGACTAAATGTCCAACCGTCGCAACGAGACGAATTATGGCCTTTGTGTCACTTTTGCTCGCCGCTACTTTTTAATTTCCCAGTACGCAGGCATTTTTTAATTCGTGCGCTTTTATGAAATTTTATGTCCTCCCGTGATTGTTCCCGGTGTCACTCTATTTGAACCGTTCTAATTGTTCAGAATTGGATGGCTATTCTTTTCAAAATGGATTCTTAAATTTTAGTAGGTATTATTATTTAAATTAAAATTTTATCGCCTTTGTTATGATGATTAATAGGTGATTAAAAAATATTTTGAGATTGGATATAAAAAAAAACTAAATACTCACTTGTGCCTGCATAGTAGACGGTATATTCAAGAGGGTGACCCATCATATCCACTTTTACTCGATCCACAACCAGGCGAGTGAAGAAAAGATCTCTTTTATAGTAAATAGGCTTTTCGTGTTCATGAGACACCGCGCTGTCCATTAGTGGATGTGACCTGGTGTTAGAATAAATTATGTTAAAAAGGTTCAATATTTTATTTTAAAATTATTTAATACATGCAATTTAAAGCTCTTTATTTATTCCATAAGCGCTGTTAATTAGAGTAATGAAATTTATTGTACAAGAGTTACAACTTAATAAAGTATCGTTATTGAAGTAGATTGCGTGTTAACAATGTGACAGTTAATATAGTAATGTGCCGATAGCAAATAAAAGCTGTTACTTGAAACGTCGACAACAAAATCCTTCACTTAATTAAAAATTTTCAATTTCATGTTTTAAAAAAAATAATGTATTATTTTTACGCGACTGGTTCAAGTGAAGTGCTAAAATCTCAACGTTTCCACGTGAGGATTGTGAAAAAAGTGGGAAAAAAATAATTGAACACTCTCTAGCGAGTGTCGGATAATTAACAGGACGTGTCTAGATAAAAGTGGTTGGCCTCAATGAGGCGGGCTCTGGGTTGTAGTTTGAGAGCTTGCGTTTATAAGGTTAATTTTGTTTACAAGTTTCATTCAACGCCTTTACAATTTTTTTGCAAACACGTTGACAATGCCGTAAGAGTTATTAAAATCCATTAAAATTATATTAATACTATTGGAAATGTTGGATAAACGTGGATGAGACATAATTCATCGTTATAATTAAATGAAAATTTTCGGAATAAATAGCGAAATAAACTTTTAAATTATTACCTTATAAAATTGAGCACTGTATCTGGCAAGGAAGAAGTGTCATTCACGCATTTGCCAGGTCTTGGTTCAGGAACTCTGCTGCTTATGACTGGAAGCCAGGCGGAGCTTGAAGTCGCCTGTTCTTTGAATTTTCCTTCGAATGCTTTCTGAATGTCACCGATGGTGAATGTGCAAATTGCTGAACCCATCAATCCTGTTGAAGCAGTTGTGAATACACCGTAGAAACGGCTGTCATCCCCAGGAACTTTGTAGATGCTCTCTGTTAATAAATAAACAGAATGAAGTAAATGGTATTAAATTCTAATATGTAATATTAATATATTAATACAATTTTATGACTACTTTCACTTTATACATATGAATAGAAATTGAAATTGTGATATCTTTTTACAAATAGACAGATATTGTAATAAGTAATTGTATTAGCAGTAGTAATTATTATAGATCTATGACTATAGACTACTGTTAGTGTTCATAACTGACTATACTGTTAGTGTTCATAACTGACTAGTTATGAACACTAACAGTTTTTTTCCCAAATTTTTTTCTTCATTATACATACGACAAGTGACTTCAACTCATTCAAATAAAAAAGACTAAAAATTTTAGTATGAAATTAAATATTCGTTACAATAATATTCAAATTACTATTAAACAACGAAATACAAACATGATCCCCAAATCTGTACATAGTTGTCAGAACTTCAAGAGCTCGGTATTAAATTTCTGTAATTGTGGTTTCAAACTTTATATCTTCATGTCACCAGACGTTTCCGCGAATTTAAACTATGTCATACAATAACTCTAATATAAGTGAGTCCATTAAAACACACGTTTATAATAATAATATGAACGCTGCTTATAATATCAGGGTTTTATTTCAACAGGAAAGCATTAAACAAAGGCGCTAAGACGTGGGTTTAGCAAGATCATAAATATAGCTTGTATTAAATTTGAGAAAGGCGTAAACGATGTTTGGGGAAAAAGCAAGCACATAATTTACAAACAAAACACGAAACAGTTGTCAAACGAAAACTTGACGCGTGCTTAATATAAATACATTAATCTTGGCCTTTTTATTTAATAAATACAAAATAAAAAACACATGTTAGACATTGGGCTTTACGATTATAAAATAAATAATTGTAATTTATTCTTTTGAAGTATTCTTTTTTATAGCAGGTGAACGTTAAATAGAAATGCACGAAGTAATGAGCGAGGTGCCTCAAGTTTTGTGAGGGTCTAATCGTCCTTAAACACAAATGCAAACACCGAATGCTGGAAGGTACGTACCTATTACGTGCTCATGAGTTATGCAGGGAAGCGATGGGGCGCGTGAAAAATCGTGGTAGAGACCGAACGTTACGTTAATATTATATGAGCACAGTCGAAACTCCGTACGGGAAGAATTGGCTAGACTTTTGTCGTTTAAATCTTCCTATGCACTATTGAATTTAGAAGTGAAATGTTTGCTTGAGATTGACAGTCAATGTTTGGATGTTTGGGATTAGGGTGAAGCTATAGAGTTAGTTGTTGAAGTTTGAAGTTGGAAAAGTCTGGATACACAGAACTGTACTCTAAAAGGCTATGGAAAATCACTACAATATTTAACGTTTATATGAAAGTTTGTAGATTGCGAACGAATGATTTCTCTTTGTGCTTTACGAGAACAAAGTAAATTTGGGAACTTTTCGGTTCTGTAAAGTTTTATTTAATAAAACCTTTTGGACATTACATGTAAGATTCGTGCTAGAGTTGGATTTACAATATGTTTGATTTTAGTTCAAATATCTAGAAAATATTGATGTCTTGACCAAATTTACCATCTCTAAAAACTAACTCTATTACATTTCCTCCTTTACTAAAATATATAAAAGTATTAATTATTTATCTTAATGTACGGTTTAATTTTAGAATTGCAAAAATTTTGTTTTCTAAATTGTAATCAAAATTTTATCTTAAAAACTCAAACGGAGTGATTTTTGGATTCCTTATCAACACAAATACAGTAAGTAATACGAAATGTCTAAGATACAAAAAAATAAGTATGAAAGAGTTTGAGTGATTGCTACAAAAAGCCAAGAATACTTAAAAATTTATAAAAATAAAAAATAAAGTATGTATTACAAGTAACACATAACATTTATAAACAAATTGTTGGTATAATAATAATCAAGTAAAATCAATTAAAAAGCATCTGATATATTATCTTAAGAGCGCGGTTATACTTGGTATGAGGAGAGAAATACTTACGGATCTCGTTAAAGTAGAATGGGAATTCCCCGGGTATGCTACAGTTTAGGCGCGCCTTCAAGTAAGTGGCCCAGTTTTGACTTAAGATGTTTTTGCCGCCAGTGTCTTTCTTGCAAATTCTCGCTACTCTAGAGTACACTGCTTTCCCACAATTAATATATTCCACAGCGGTTTCACGGAAGAAGAACAGCACATATTCCCCAACGTCGAAAGATCCAACGAAGTTTGGTTCTAAATAAAAAAATACGTAGCATTAATACAATGACATACAACATTAAAACCCGTAAAAAACATTTGTTAGCGCCATAATAACTGCTAACATTATATTATGGTTCCATTAGTCGTATAAATTTTATATATTCCAGCGTGTGAACGAGTTCCCATGTTAATACCATAGAATCAAATTGCTGTTATTCTGTGATATGCAATAAATATTAGATGAAGCCGTGTGTCAATTATGTCACGGGGTGGTTAGAGCTCGCAATAGTACGTACTCATTTGATGCCTACTGAAATGAAATGGCCACGTGTTATGGATTACGAACACACGACACCGCGCCGGTATGATCAGTATAGATTACACACAATAGGTAGTCATATTCATATTACAAACTGTTAAGCCTGTAAAATTTATATCGCAATAAATGATCACAATTAATAAAGCAATCAAGAAAGGGAGCAAGAATTTTAATTAAGAAAAACGAATCTAGTATAGGGATACAAGATATTTTAGTACAATTGATATCGGTAGTTTAAAGTACACTGCATCAGTAATTATATACATTCATAATATACGCTTGATCAGATCGTAACGATGGAAATACCTGTATTATACAATGGTGTGTGTTACCACAAATAGGAGAGACTAAAATTGGTTATATACATTATTAATTTTTACGATTATTAGTGTTCCCCACATTATAGTGAAAAGGATATTTGTTCAAATTTGTTCAATGAAAACTGGGTAATTATACAATTAGATATGAGAAAAGCGACAAACTAAACTGACAAACATTGTTGTAAATTCAAGTTTAAATTTGTGCTGAGATAACAAAGGAATCACATTGAAGATATACGAATTTATCGAACAACTTCTGTTCCGGTTGCTGTGCCACCAAAATTAACGGGCAAAGATTGGGGGCACATTACAGCTCGTTAGAGCGAAAACAGTTTAATTTCCATTGTTTAGTCGCAAGCATCGATAATATGTTACAATTGTTCTAATCATTATCAGCCTTCAGCTGATTGCAAATCAATGTAGCGATTCGCTGATTTATGAATTCATTCATCGGCATTTCTAGAACACTGATTGAATCTATCATATGTTAGTCGAATTATTAGCATAATATAAGCGGACATGATATTAGTTGCTATGATTGTATCAGTAATATGACTAATGAGATTTGTTCCCGTTTAATTATGTACTTTCTATGTGATTTTATTTGAATCTAATTGCAATAGTACTTAGTGTATTAAAATATGAACTGAACTTACTGTCAAGCCATTTAGAGTCGTATTTCAAGGTACGTTTAAAGGAAAACTCTAGTCGTCCAGTTGTCAAGTTATGCAGGTCGGTTCGAAAGATCACGGTGTCTGCTTTAGTAAACTCTGCGTTGGTTCCGGAGTACAGAGCAGGAAGGGAACCAGGGTTGCCTCTCTCCACCCACAAGGCGGTTGAGTTGTCAGCAGGATCGTAAGGACATTTGGCGACACCCATGCCGATGCCCGGCACGTACTCGTAGCGTGGCAGGTGTGTCAGGTTAGACTGCGAAAATAAAACATTGCTTAGTATGGGTTTTAATAAAAATCAGTAAAGTTGTCAGCAACTGTAACATTTTAATTTAGAGATAACTTTAATCTCGGGACTAAAGAATGAGTATTGCTTTATGGAAATGTTAAACTCTAAAAATTAGAGTACTGTACAACACAAATAGTCCAAACGACGAGAGGATTTATGTGTCTGGCCTACTGTCCACCCCCGTTGGTCCCACTCAAAAACACATCTGCGACTAATTTTTTTTTTCAAAATAACGTCCGTTTCACATCCAGAGCGATTTATTGACCGAAACTTATTATTTCATAGAAGCTGGAATATTTTTGGCATAGTACGGGCGTTCTCCTCTATTAGTATAATGCGATGGGTGGCGGTACGGTTTTCGGAATTATCATAAAATTACTAAATGTAGCATAAACGTGGGGTGGGCAGCGAGGCCCGTCGCGGTGGATTGAGACTTTATGTAAATTTTAACGACGCTGCGACCATCGGCGGCACCTGTGACCCTCCCTAGCCCCCGTCTCTCGCTTAGCCCGCGGCACCTGTCGAAAACCTATGTCGTTTTTATTTCAATAAGCTAAGGATTAAATTAGGCGTGCAAGGACGTGCCCGCGACGGACGCCTCGGGCCAGGAAGGGTCGTTTCCTCGTTCTTTACTTTTGTAAATCGAGTCTTCTTCAAGTTGTACACCATCCTCAGACACATGTATCTTTTCAGTAAATAACGTTATCTAACCTACATATGTTGTAATAACAGCAGTAAAGATAATTATTATTTTCAACAGATATGAACAAAATGATAATTTATGTTTGTGAGTCCGCAATTGTAATAAAGTTTTTAATTCATGTCACTTCGTAAAAAGCGATAATTTGATTATAAATAAATTCTATTTCTGTGCACAAACATGGAGTCTAAACAAAATCGTGTCTTCGCATTTGTATTCCGTCTGAAACGTTTGCTGAATCATTATTTCTATATCTAAGTGAGCGTAAGCCCAGAGCAAACAACTCAATGAATCGGACGGAAGAGCTCGGGGACTTCCTTCGTAGAATAAGAAAGTTGCTGGCAAACCGAACCTTCATTAGGCCTTTGCTTTGTTTGTATACAAAATTAGCATCTCCAAGCTTTTTAGAGAGGATTGTCCGCGCGGCAATTATTACACATTGAGCGAAAGTTGGTTGTAGGGATTTGCATCTTTTTAGGGGCCCAAAATTAAATGTTGGACAAATTTCAACTCGCTTTTTGTACGCACTGAATAACAAAATAAGAGCCCTTAAATTTATTCAACATCATTATGTGATACAAAAATATTTTTTTAAATATATCTAATTGTGAGAAGTTTATATGTTTAGGTATTTTTAGCTTTAATTTTAATAATAATAATAACCTAAATGCATGATCAAACCTTATCTGAATAACACCTATAATTTAAAAACATTTATGTCAAAGCCTTTTAAATCTTATCCTAAAACAATAGAACAAAGTTTAAAGATAACAAAACATGCTATAACAGTATCATCCAAGACGGAGAGGTTGTAAAGAAAAACGGGGAACTATAAAATTTTACAGGAATAAAGTTTAGAACGACATAAAGTAAGACAAGGACTCAGGTGTAGTTATCCTACATTCGATCCTCCTTCGCATCTAAAGGCGTACGTATTTACAATATATTGTGGTCCACGAGCTCTGAGAATGTGTTTTAAAGAAAATTTACTTTGATATAAAATAGATTGCTTTTAATACAATAAGCATGATTATGATGTTGTTCAATAATTTGCTATTGTCATGACGTATGTATTGTTACTTTTACTATTACTAATATTCCTTACTTTTACTATTACTACTATACTGTTACTAATATTCCTTAATTATGATTAGCAATCGCCAAAGTGTAATAATAATCACAATTATGTTATCTTATGAACACTAAATTCCCATTAAATACTTAAAATATATTGTCATGGTAAGAAATTTATTTGAAATACATATTTATAAAAGATTTGAAGATTTTGGTCTGATTTTTGGGAACTTGTAAAAATAAACTTTGGATATGCACAAATAATATAAAACAAAAGGCAAAAATCACACACGTTAATACTCGTGTCAATTTTTTTGATTTTAAATTAAGAATGTTAATTATAACAATAATATTTTGTTTAATATTAAAATTATTATTTTACTTCAAATTGAACTGCTGTGTTTTTGTCTATTTAATAGGAACTTAGCGAAATAAAAAATGAGGTGAAATAAATAAGTGTCTCAAACGGAATATACATATTTTACTGCGGTACTGTATTTTTTTTTATCTTTTGGTCATTTATATATTTCTTATTTAAATTAATTGATACACGTTAAATACATACAGGTCAGCTTTTGGTAATTTAAGACACTCCATTAGCCTACAGTTTGCGGAGATTGCAAAGTAAGTACCCATCACTAGTACGCTCTAGCCTTAACATTTTACCTTAATAAGTAAATTTTATATACAAGGTATTATTAAAATTGATACATCACGATTTGAATTTTCAGTTTAGAATAGTAAGATTATAAACATATAGTTTATTAGATATTAGTTATGTGATTTTATTATAATACTTATAAATAATTTGCTTCATTTTATAACTAAATTCTTATTGGAATTTAGTTTTAACAACGCATTAAATTAAAGAAAGAAAGTTAAAGTAGAAAAAGTTAAAACAAATGCAACCATAATGGATAATTGCTCAATAAATTCTGTCCAGGAAACGTTTACAACATAACATCACAAAACATTGCAATGACTCTGGTAGACGATATTGGTTCCTAATTCTGAATGGGATTGCTTTTGCACCTGGGTCGTCTCCTGAAATATGAGTTCGTGTTGTTTGCTAACCGAAATATAGCTAAAACATTGATGGTCAGACACGTTGCGGTTTTATAAAACTGATAAACTTAAAAAGGTGCAAAACATAGTCGTAAAAAATAACTTTAAACTATCTCTAGAGAAACTTGAATTTGCTCCTACAAACTTTATTTCGTGTCTCACATATTAACGTTTCTTCGTGAGAGAACTATTTCCAGTAAGAAAACAACTGCAAGATCTCTAAGCAAGTTTTCAAACATAAACTCATGTTTGTTCCTTTTTGAATTCTAATGAGTTTTAAAAATGTTGAAGTAATGTGTGGTATTCGTTTTAACTATGACTGTAAAGTCGGATACAAAATGTTTATAGGCGAGCATCTGCGTGCGAACTCCATACACTATAAACCGTATAAAGTGATTGCGCTAAGTGCTCTCGAGTCTTTGGCGGTGTTGCTAACGCACTAGCCATAATAGTGGCAATGTCTAAATAGGAAAGGTTTTAAGAAGAGTCTATTTGAATTAGCCGCATAATAATTTTTCATTTCAGTTTTAAGTAATTTATTTCGTTACAAGTATACATAGTGTGTTTTTAAATACAATTTTTCAATAATTGTTTTAAGTGAGCGTACTACGCGGTATTGTTTCCCTTTTGTGTATTATCAATCAATATAATATTTGCCCGTGTATCGGGCCACCTTCATTACTTTTGTTTCGTTCGTGTGACGAGATTTAATGTTTTCAATTTAAATGGGAACAATCAATAAGCGGGGCTTATCGCATTTTATTCGAACAAGATGAATACGATGTGTTTTAAATCTGCTAGCTATACAAATTGTCCTATTGTTATGCAGGGGATGGGTGCGTTTACATTACATTGAATCCTTTTTGTAATATAGGCCTTGTATCGAATGATGTTATGTCATCATCCAATAAGGTAAAAAACATAATTTACTATACCATACACCTGCAATTCAAATTATGTTTAGAAGAAATATTTTTTTCATACATTTTGGTTTTTCAATTGTTCGTCAACACGAATTCATTACATACCATTTTTATATAAATAAAATAATGACTTACAAAATCTTTGTTAACAACCATAATGTATTTAAAAACTATCTGATGTAAATGTGAGAAAAAATATAAGCGAAATGGAAAAACCATGAACAAAAAATGTTTGTCTAATGTGAACAAGCTTTACATGTAACAAATGATACCTTTGTTTGTGAATCATTTTCGTTTTATTGCCCCCATTGACTAATCTTTTCCGGATGATTATTGCATTCATTGTTTTAATCTCCTTTACAAAGCAACGCTATTTGTATTTTGATTTAATGTAATTAATAATATTTGACTTTATACTTCTCCTTTTCTATTCATAGAGAAACTTTTGAATGTAACATTATTAATGTCATAAATTCTGTCTTTTGCTTATATTAGAGAGAAATTGTATAGTAGTTTAATTGTAACAATCACTTATAACAGTAAAACACAACCATAAACAAGAAAAACAATAAAAATCAAGCGTTTGGAATGCAATCGCATCCGTCATTAGTTTCGTATACCCCAATAGGAAACCATTTGTAACAGAAAAGATATAAATTGATAGTTGCAGTTAGGGCACGCACAAGCTGTTTAAGACAATCTAAAGATATACAGCCGGAACAAACGGGCTGGAAATTTACAAATGATTTGTATCTGATTTGGGAAATAAAAGTTACTTCTTCCAACTTAATAAATATAATGAAGAAGTAATAAATTATTTTAATTAAAACATGTAAAACTATGAAAAAATATGTAGAGAGATGAAAAACTGATGTGAAAATAGAATTTCAATTCTGTTAATTGCCATTTTGACCGATTCAATTTTAAACTACGTCCCTATTGGAAAGGGCATTGTTACGAATGCGTCACTGCAAGTGCCCTATCAATTGCGTACATGTGATTTCACTCAATTTTTGAAACTGACGCGCCCCTCCGTAGGGAGTAAAAGCATTACTCAAACCACAGATTATACTGCAATATTTTTGCTTTACTGTTTCTATTACGTCAACTGGAAATAAATTAGATAAATCAGAACATTTTCAGCGTGAACATTTTTTTAGAATGTTTGATTATTGTTTAAGAATATATAATTAAAACCTCTTATTACAGTATGTGGTATTGGAGTATCAGTAAACGCTATCTGTGTTTTGGCAGTGTGCTCTGCACAAAGGACCGCCGGCAAGTATCAACGTTCAATGGTTACTTCCCGCAAACCTAATATATTTTCAATTTCCAGCCTCCCCTGCGTAGGGTTTTCGACTTTTAATAGGATTTATCGTTTTAGACGATTCCGTTTGGTCAGTAAATCACTTTTATATTATTTCGATATAGCAAATTATAACGGAATGAACTTTGAAAGTAACAGATCAATTCTTTAATTATGAAAATTACACTCTAATTTTAAGATAAAGTTTGGATTAATTTTAATGTACATATGTTTATGAAAATCTTGTTATATCTAAAAATTGGAGGTGTTAGAGAAAAGAGTATGTGTTTTGCTACCTAAACTCTAAGGAAGAAACGACTCAACGTATAGCTAAAATAACTTATACTTTTGTATAATTACAGTAACTATTATAAAATATAACAGTATAAGAAAATCTTCGAGTAAGTATTTTTTACCTAATACCCCTTAATAACACCCTTTTCGTATTCATATACTAAAACGTAAATTTGCAAAATGGTCATAAAACCTCCATACATTGAGCCTGGAACGCGATAAACTCGTGAAGGGTCAAAACGACCCCCGATACATCATAAAATTATATGAAAGTCAAAAGCAGAGAAAGTGAAAGGTGAACATAGCACCGCAAAATTTATTGCAGCCTGCTTTCGATACCTATTGTGAAAAGCGTTTTTACGACTTAAAAAAAACGGTTTTAAAAAAATAACCATAGCACGGCTAGCGGTCAAGTGGCTCTATATTTCAAACGTCAGCGTAAATATAACATGAAATTTAAATTTTATATTTCAAAATGTTTACGGCGAATATTCATACGTTTGTAGGTAAAATTGTCATTGAGAACTGGCGTTATGGAATCGTCCGGATAGAAACTTTGAGAAAAATCTGCTCCCATCTTACGGCGTCATTTGAAATCAGTGTCCGTGAAATTTGCCGTGGTTGCCGGCGCTGCGTTATGTGTTCGCGAATGCATTTGCAAGCTGAATGGAGGTTTAAAAGCAATTCGTGTAAAAACTACAATAAAAGGAAATGTAGTGCTGTGTTATTTATAGAAAAACATGTCTGGCTCTTTGAAACTGTTGCGTCTTTGGCTTGCGGCCAAGCTGTATTTAGGAATAACTTGAAGTTATCTAGATAATAATAGCGCTTGTTAGATTGTTTTCTAATATGAGAACATTATGTAACGATCTTAATTGATTTGTATTTATTATGTAGCTGCATCTATCTTATTAATATATAAAAATACTTATTATAATACTCGAATTTAGTAAATAGATACTTACATATAATACCCAGTCTTTAGGGCTATGAGCGTTGGTTCCACACACGTAAAGGCGACTGCCATCACCCATGGGTTGAATCACTCTCACGTGGTTGCGGCAATCGAAGTGCTGAAATGAAACCATTCAATTAAAATTAACCAAGCCAAACTAAGCACAGCTTTAATATGTAACACTCGAAGCACTTTAATCAGTAATGATCATTCAAATTTTGTATCGATAGAATGTTAATACGCTTTAAACACATAATCCATTTGGTTAAAGAGTCGTCGAAGCTGTCTATAAATCAGAATAGCGGCTAATTACTGCAGTTAATTCAGCCATTCTCTTACGTTTCAATCAAAATTGGCGCAATACGGATAATTGGTTAGCCGATACGATAAATAAATGAACTGAATTGAAGGAATACATATTGGGTGCATCGAAAATTTTATCGAAATAATAGTAATTCGCTGAAGTGTGGGTGAATATGCGCTGGCTGTGATTATGCAAATTTGCGTTCAACATAAATATTGAACGAGGCATTAATATTCCGTACGACAGGAATATGCGATGACCGCTTTAGTAAATAAAACATAGCTTAAAATGAGCTATTGCTATTGAGCTATTGCCTAGCTTTATTTACAAGTCTTGCCTTTTATTAGTTAAATATTAAGCTAATCAACTAACCAACATGTGAGTTTTTGATTAAATTTCTGTACCTGTTACGCAGAATGTAATAAATGTTCATAATACTATAGGTTTAAATAAATTTTATCTCAACATAATTTACTTCACATTTAAAATAGGTGTTTATTATTCAGTAGGAAATCGTGGAACAGAAATACAATTTGCGAATGTTAGTTCGTTATAATCGGGGGCAATACAGCTTGTATATAAAGCTGCGGTGACTGTGGCGAGTGCAGAGATTGAAACTAATTTTCTCTACGTCACGACGAGAGCTGGCCAGGCAGGCAGGCACGACTATTGTACGGATATGTCAGATTTTGAAATTTACGAAATACAGGACGAAAAGGAAATATCGCAAACGGTTTTTGTACCGAGCGCACTGTCACGTAGTTTGATTTAAGTGTTATCGTAAACGTAGTGAGCATTTTTGTATTTGACTAAAATACATGGCAGTTCTGTTATACATCTGATCGATGGTGAAATAAGACTGTCATACTACTTTTTTTATTGCAATCCGTTTAGTATTTCAGTATTTTTTTTAATGGTTAAACAACGAAATTTTTTGATAAGTAATATTTGTTTTCTTACCTTTAAGAGAATGATAACTTCAGTTGTTTTCTTTAATAATTATAGAATTTAATTCTAAATGAATTATTATTTATGACAGTATTCTAAAGAAATATTGTTTAAAATATGATGGATGCTAGGTTTGTGTCAAAAATTTTGCTAGCATCTACATTTCTGCTATTCATTTTCTGTGATTTAATGATATCGAAAACAAATTGATTGAGTTTATAAACAATGGATGTAGAAACAAAGTTATTTTCTTAGCACGTTTTTGACACTCGCACGGCTTCGCTAAGGTAACTTTCTTAGAGAATGTTCTTAAGTAATTATCGGATTAATATACTTGGACTGTTTTAACCGTTGTACTGACATGAACAAAAGTGTTTTGCGCTCAGAAACAATCAGAATTAAGCAAGAGAACAATCAGGCCCACGTCTAAGTTACTTTTAACGGCACTTAGCCGGCTTCGCATAACTTCGCTCGGAACTAATGCTTTCGATTGGTCCATTTCGTTAATTATTCGCCACTTTGTACGTAAGTAGATTTACGACCGGCTCTACGTTTCCCTGCGTTTTTTCAACGAATGGTTTTTTGAAAAGAATTGTACTTATTCTTTTAAAACCAATAGCTTCTTGGTACTGATATAGGAACCCATTTGCAATGCTAATAATTGCGCTTATTTCTTTAAGACACACCATTAGAATTTCCATTTGCAAGTTAATTGTTATTTTAACAGATTTTGTAGGAAAAGAAATGGTTGAGCACTTGTCCATGCGAACCTCCTTAAATTCAGGTCCGGAAATGGTTCGCTTTATCTAAAAATCTAAATTTCAGTCATTTAGCTGGCAATTTTTCTTATATAACATCGCAGATAATACGAGGAATGGTCTTAGAAAGGAAAGTCGAAAGAACCCTGTGGCTGCCTTACAGAATTCTGCTGTCGGCACTTTCCCAGCCTTTTTCGTGTTACGACATCATGTTTAGAGAAAGAAAAACTCGTCTAGAGCGACAAACTTTGATTATAGCTTTTACGGAAAACCCTTGTTTCCGCGATCAGGGCGATAGACTCCAGAATATTTCTTTTTTATATCCCTTTTATAGTAATAAAACAAATTTACTTTTTCTTTCATAGCTGAAGTTGCATATTGGTTTCATACTAGGCAAGCATATTTTCTTACTTTTCTTTCTATTGCGAGAATAATATTATAATAGCTTACATTCTAATACGTTTTAAAGAATTATTATAAAAGACTAATATTGGTTTATTTATTCTCTCTTTTTTAATCATCTTACTATTTTTAAAACTCATCTCTTTTCATATATGTAATACGGAATGTAAATGACATTATACAAACTAAATAAAGAAAATATTCCAGCATAGAAATTTTTCGTTTGTGGCATTATTGAATTAGTACAGCAATCGCACGATCTTCAGAGGCGGTGTAACCGACAAATAAAACAAATATTGCTTTTACGCGGCGATTGTAAATCAAAATTAACGACCTTAATATAGCTGGCACAACGGAGCTTCAAGCTTCCCCGCTATGAAATATGCCCGCCCGCCGTTCACTGTTAAAAATGGGATTAACCCTTGATGGAAATAGTGCTAGTTGTGTGCAATTTAGCGTTGAACAAAGGAGTTTCAATTGATTTAATGAGGCAATAATGGCTGCATCTCTCAACTTTAGTGGTTCCATTTATCATGTAACTGGATCTTGGATGTCTTCTTAGTTTATAGAAATTTAAGTTTTAAGGTATGTGAGTGTAAAATATGGATGCTTTAAAAGGTTCGTCTTATAATATTAATGTCATATTCTCATGAGCGTGTTCTGTCATATTTTGCGTTAACATCGCGCTAAATACGATGGGGCGCTAAGCCATAAAGATTAGCGTTTGTAGACGTCAATCACAATTTGAGAGTATAGAGCGTGTGAATTTTAGGGTTATAATGTATTATGAAAAAAAAAGTATTATTATTACTAGTAAATTTAAAATTGTTATCGCCTACTTACTTCAGATTTTCCTTTAGAGACACATTGAGCTACGTTGCTTGGTTCCAAATTAATAGAATCTCTCTGAAAAAAGAGAAAATTCCTTTAGTGTTTAATGTTTCCTTATTACATTATAAAAAACAATTTTGTAATACTTACGTCGCAATGTGAAGCGCTTATATTGTTCATGTTAAGCCTGTACAGTCGATCCCTGTTGAGAAAAACGGACAATTTGTAACATTAAAATAAACAAGTATTTCTTTGTTATCATAAATAAAAAAAGTTGATAAAATAACATGCCTTATAAAGATACGTAAAATCAAAATAAAAAATAAAAAACCTTGCCGCATATAATAGAAAATTAGAACTTTATCATACAAATGGCTGTTTCTACAAAGTTGTTAGTTTGTTGCGTGCAAAGGCAATCGCGTTCATCAAGTATAATATGGTTAGAAGTGTGATATGTATAATGTTACTTGTTCCGTGACTCAAATTATTAGATATTGACATATTATATTATTATGAAAAGCTTCATTGATTACTTAGACTTGTTACAATGGGTTATTCAAATGAATTTTTAATGTATGAAATATTACAATGATAAAAAAATCTATACATATATAATAATAGTTTCGATTTAATACATATATGTATCTTAGAGGACACGTAGTATAAATAATATGTATATTATTACATAGACAAACAAAAATAAAGTATGAAAATAAGGCGATTAAGTAGATAAATATGTATCCGAGGATTTTATTTCTATTTATATAGTGAAATATAAAACTTACATAGCGCCGACGTAGAGAGCGTCGCGTTTGGAATCCACAAAGAAGGTTCTGTAGTAAAGAGTGCCACAAGAGAATTCCCGTACATGATCTGTAAAGAATAAAATGCAATGAATTTAAAATATTATATATAAATAAATATTATTATAATAATGTCTGGATCGTTAGAAGTTGAAACAAGTATAGTCAAATATTCAGAATATTGTATAGTTTCGTGCTAGTCATGTTAATCCAATTCGATAATATTATATTAGGATTCGTTTTTTCTTTGTAATAAAATCAATGGACCATAAATTGGATGAAATATCGTCGATTTCGAAACATTAACCATATTTTAGCAATTATGTTATGCTTATCTGTTATTTGGGTGGGATACCAGATACTTCACGTGGGGACATAGGTAAACGGGATCGAGTCACGCACTGTAGTTTTACAGCCGGAGTCATTGATGTCCAAATGAATATCGTTGGAACAGCAACCGAATAAACTACATATCGTAAAATGTACGTGATCTGTACGAAGTTGGAAAGTAATCGCATGTTTATGTCGCTTTGTTGGGAATTGTGTCTACTTTTGCTTTATTTTATTGTATTTTGATTTTGACCAAAACTTTTGTTCGGTTCTGTTATGGGATTGTAGTCACATTATTTTATATACTTTACAGATTTTGATGGTAGGCTAGCCTAGATTTCTATTATATCATATTTTAAAATGGTAGATATTTTTTCTTTTAGTAAAATTGTTATCCTGACGGTAATACATTACAAAAGGAAACAAGAAACGTATAGAACACTTAGGAAGACTATTTACATTTCACCAAGAGAAAACATTACATAAATATTCTTGTGTTCATTTTTGACAACTACGTTAACTTTGTACATGTGCTTTGGAGCGTTAAGTTTAAAAAACTCACGGCGAAGACGAGTTCGCGCGGAAGTCTTTTCAATGCACACCTTCGCAGACTGGAATATATTTTTACGAAGCCGTCATATTCCTTTTATACGAGACTGTTGAATAATGAAATTAAAGTCATGTAATATTTTATATTTTTATTGCTTTCATACATTCATTCAGTATAAATAGTTTGATACGGATCTATTTAATAATAGCGTTTCAATATTTGTGTTTTAATTTTCCAATGACCAAATAGTTATCATTATAACGATCCAAAAGTCATGATATTGATATCAATAGCAATGGATTTAAACTAACCAACAATTTTTATGATGAAAGATAAACTAGGCTCCCACTTCTATTAAAGTCTGTATAAGCTGTCATCATGGTGACAATGTATCAGAATAAATTAAGTTTGAATAGTGTATGCTGTAGTAGGGAATAGCAGGTGCAAATCAGAAGTCGCTGCGGCGACGCCGTTGGGACCTTACCTTGTATCAACAATCTGCATGTAAGATTTGAGTAACGTAATAATATTTACATTTTGTTTTGTTTAAACATGTTATAGGAAAATATTGTTTGTACAAAACCATGTATATATTGGTTGTGACCGCATCCCTGTGGCTGTTACAACATATGTGTTACAAGTTATGGTTTATTGTAACCAAATCATAAGCTCATTAAATAATTTTGTGTATGAAATTCATTACATTTCAGATACAAAATTATTTTATATCATTTCCTGTCTGTAATTAGTTTTCGATAGCTCGAACATTTGATGTTTTTGAATAAATAAAGTGGGTAAAGTATTTTTAAAATAACTAACAAAACCCTTTCAGTTAAGGAAGAAATATCTTTCAAGTTAATTCGTAAAAATAAATATAAAAAATTCAAACAACTACGAGCCAGCTCCTAAGTCCGCAATAAAACCTTTTGCATATTTCACTCGCACTGTCGCGTCTTCGAGCATCACAATAATGTATTCAGTGGCAATACATTTTTCATCACTCAATCTTACATACAGGTATCTAATGTAGTTTTGTGACAATGTGTTAATATAGTTTTGAATTTCAGGAAGTTATAGACAAGAATTTTTTCATACTTCATCATTAAAATAAAAGAGTTTTCCTTGACATTTCAAAATATTACAATGAGTAACAATGCTTTCTATTGTCCACTGTTTGAATCATAAATATTGTGTTTAACATAGATAACCATCTTTCTAATCTGTGTCATCTAATGTTTGAATATTTTGGGTTAATATATTTTATTTATTAAATACTCTGACAAAGGTTCAGGTTTCAGCAACTATAATTAGTTAGAGGGGGTTGTATCAAGATTCCTATGAGCCTTGTCGACACGCAAATCTTTCAACTGCCACTAGAAAACAGCAATTACCTAACTTTAGCCAATTTTTATGCTGAAGTGAGGTCAGTACTTCTAATAGGTCAGATAACCTAGATATTTTTACAGAATTAACACGATTGAAAAATTACTTGAAGTTAATTAAATATTAAATTAATTTGAAACCGGTTCATTAAAATTTCAATAAAGCTATTAACTAGTACTGATAATTTTATAAATTAAGTAGATCTTATCTAAAATTAACAAGGTACCGTTTTAATTAAATCTTTTTATATAATTTTGGCCTTCCGATTTGTGAAATTTCGTGTAACGGACTACGTCGTGGTAATTGTTTTATCGCATGAGCTCGGTCACTCCGGTCAGAGGGTAAAGGCAGAGGGAAGGGAGGTTAAAATCACAGCTGGAGTTCAAGAAAGTTAGGAAGCACGTTTTGTGATACTATCTCAACCTAAATGTTGATCAGTAACGGTTACTGCTTCTATGCACAACTATGTTAGTCTTATCATCAATTGGGCTTTTCTGGTTCAAATAATATATATCATAATACTTAATAAATAAATAATAATCAACCTACACAAACTACGAAACAATATTTGATTGATTAGAAGATTACTCGCAACAAAAAACCGCGTATTATTCATCTGGCAACTGTTACAGCGGCGTACACGGTAGCGATTAGATTAACAGCATACGATTGGCTTACATGAGAACTTTAGCCCATTAGCTCTCTAATACTTGGTGGATTGGATTAATTTAGAATGTTGCCTACGGCTGTTTATGTTTCGTGTTATCGCTGTCTTTAACAATAACACGCCAAACTCCAAATTAAATATGGGTGCGTAGTTTTATGGCTTTGTGAGGTTTTGTTTCGGACGGTCTTTGACGGTTAATGGTAATTGAAAAGGGGGTTAATTATTTACTGTAATTGTTGTTCCTAATGTTTGTTTTAAATAACACGGAACAAAAAAATAAACGTTATATACCGACAATGTTAATAACATTTTGAATAAAATGAATCCATTGAGTCTTAAAGTGCGTCTTAACCACAACTAATGATTCTTAGCGTCTCTTGGAGCGAACCGCAAAACTAAATTAGCTTGCTTATAATATGATATTTCAGTCACGATCTCCTTGAATACACTGTTACTTGGGAGAAGGCAAGTCGAAGTGAGTTAAGCGAGTTAATCGCAACACGTGTCTACATAATGTACTGCTGCATAAATGTTTCAGCTTCGATTTTATGCTCGTAAATTGAATGTAACTTTGACTTAGATAACAACTTTAAAGGAGAGGCAGACTTTAAAGTATTTATAAGATAAAGTTTGCTATATTATCTAAAGCAATATTTCATATAGAAGGTTTAGAATATTTGACATAAAAATTTCTATTGTACAGATTTTGAAGCGTTAAATTCCAAGTTGAGACCGTTATCTTTTTAGTTTGTAAGCTTTGTAAAGTGTCCAGTTCTCGAAAGACAAACATCTTCTATCACTGCTATGGCGAACAATCGTCGAAATAAGTGTCGCATTGTACTTGAAGAACAATTCCGTGAAAGAGACGTTCAACAAAGGCCAAACTGTTAGCATTTTATAATATTATATAATAAACTGTATTCATTAAAATTATTAAAATGACCAATTAAAATTAAGTTTATAAGCAACGAAGCCTATAGCGTGCTTCGATTTTTAAACACAAAAATATTCTTCTAATTATACGATGTGAAGGTCATTGATTAATTATACCATGATTTATTTGTCAGGGGGATTCCCCTATTTTTTAAATGATGATATGTATAAACAAAATTTATGCCCGATTTCTTAGCTTTTTTATTAAAACGACTATAAATAAGTGAGTAGAATTCGAGACCTTGTACATAGTAATTTGATGTTTTCCTTATACGAAGCCTATTATATGAAAATTAAATTTGGTGAAATGTGGTCATGTTCAACTATACGTGAATGAAACTTAGCAGCGATTAAAAGTGTCGTAAAATGAAAGCAAGTAATCTCATATGAACCGTAATAAAGCAGTTACTGAGACTTAAAAGAGGTCCATCTCCCGTAACGTTCGAAATATTATCAACAAAGTAATGAAGTGTTGAGTTATAAGTGCATTAAACGTTTTTATTTCGTTGTATATTACTCTTCCTTTTTTATTAAGAAGTATAATATCTTTTAATTTTCTTCAAACTTGTAATTAAATCGTCGGGCTCGAATGGCGGAAAACTTAAAATATTTTTCGTGTCGTGCATTAAATTAGATTAAATATAACAACGACGGGAGAAAATATATACAAAATAAAAGGTAAACTTAATAAAAACAGTCTTCTTTACGTTATTAAGACTTCAAACAAAAATCAAGATCCATTTTTGCTCGTCTTTGTTTGTTACATATATTAATTAATAAAAGGTTCCTTAATGAACATAGAACAGACAAGTAGCTTTAGAATCGTTGATTTAATATGTCGCAAACGTTTTATAAGCGGCTATGAAACTGACAGATAGCTTGAATTCCACCCTTTACTGTTTATTAAGTTTACTTTATTATGTTGTTATGAACAATAGTGTTTCTATAGCTCTATTAAAAATATTAAAATTAATAACTAATGTAATAAGCAGTGAGAACCAAGTATTATATAGCAAATATGTAAAGTCAATAATCTTAGAGAACATCATTTTTTATTAATTTTTTTAAGCATAACAAAGAAATTCGGTCTGTTAGCTATTGTAATCGTTTTGATACTCATCTCCCAAGACATGAAAAGGCTTTTCCGTTTACGCGGACTAATTCCGAATGCACCTACAATCGTAAAAGCAGTCGTAAAGAATCGACT